CCCGTACCTGACCTACTGACCTCTGAACTCTGCCACACACTACTGACCTCTGAACTCTGCCACACACACGCTACTGACCTCTGAACTCTGCCACACACACACTACTGACCTCTGAACTCTGCCACCACACGCTACTGACCTCTGAACTCTGCCACACACACTTGACCTCTGAACTCTGCCACACACACACTACTGACCTCTGAACACTTTTCAGCCTCCATTATTGTGGCCTTGCTCGGTCATTTCCTCACACAGCAGCACGCGGCTCCCTGGTGATCTTTGGGGTTTTCCATGGCATTGAATGACAGCCTCTCCCCTGTCACAGAACACAAAGCATTTTGCCTCGTCTCTCCACTGGGGCTGTTCTGCATATAGCTGACAACAAAACCCCAACACGGTGCAAACAGGCCACTGTATCAGGAGAGCAGAAATGCAAACAGGCCATTATGTGCTACTGATCCCACACATTTTGGTGGGCGTTTCGGAAAGGGGGGGGGGGGGGGGGGGAGCACTGACTGCCTCCAACCAAAACCCAAATATTCTGGTCTTAAAACAAAATAATGCAGGCGTCTATAAGGGGCGGAGCAGACACTGAAGCGAAGCATTTACGGCAAGTTGAGACATGCAGTTGGGGAGCGGTAAAATGCATGGCTGAGCCATGTTCTTAGTGCCCTGTCATTAGCATCTGAAAAGTGATCAGAATGTGGATTGCTCTTCAGAGGAGAGGAAGATTTTGATGCATGTGTAAAATCTAGCTTTGCAGCACAGAACAGTGTGAACCAGCAGCGCCAGGTCCAGCAGCGCCAGGTCCAGCAGCGCCAGGTCCAGCAGCGCCAGGTCCAGCAGCGCCAGGTCCAGCAGCGCCAGGTCCAGCAGTGCCAGGTCCAGCAGCGCCAGGTCCAGCAGCGCCAGGTCCAGCAGCGCCAGGTCCAGCAGCGCCAGGTCCAGCAGCTCATCCCACTCTTTATTATTTTACTTCTTTTTGTTTTCCTGTATTTGGAGCGTCTCACAGGGAACAGTCATTCAGGTCTCTGTGCAGCAGCATGTTGCTGTGTGGTGCCATCCCCCACGTTGGGGATCATGTGGCTGCATTGGATTTGTCAGCAAAATCGTTTCTGCATGCACATTTTTTATGTGTTCCGGTGCGTTTTTTTTCCCCTTTTTTTCTTCATCTCAATTTAGGATTTGTGCGTTCCGGTGCATTTTTGATGCATTTTTCTGCGTTTCATACAGAAAAAAATTCAGCAGGTTCTACTTTTGTTGACTGCATTGGAACGCACTGCAATGGTGTTAACTGGGGCCATCGGAATCCATGTTAACCTCTTGGCGCCGGCCGAACGCAAATGTGCGACCTCCTGGGGTCTGGGCCTAAACGCCGAGCGGCCGCACACATTTGCGTTCTATTAAAAAAAAAACATATGTGCTGAGAGCGCGCGCGCCCTGCAGGCTCCCAGCACACATGTCCGGTACACGTCTTCTCTTTCGATCGGGACCTTTCCCGATCATGTGACCGCTGTGACAGCGAATCACGTTGGTCACATGACCCTAAAACCCTGCCCCGCCTCCTGGCTTCTGGAACCCTTAAAGGGGCGGGAGGCGCAGGCGCCAAGGGGTTAAACACTTGTCCATGCGTTATTGATGTAGAATAAAAACGCACTGGCGTCACATTGCCTCCTCACCATTTGCCAATCACCTCAAAAAAGCGATCTGAACATGGATCACTCTTCAGAGGAGCTTAAATCTAGCCTTACTGTGCGGGACGGTGTGAACCTGCAATGTGAGGTCTGGTGGCTATCGCACTGTTTACTTTTCATTTATTACCTTTATTTGAAATATCACGTAGTTACGTCATTCAAGTCTCTGCAAAGCAGCATGTCTGAATTTTTCCAGCATGCTTCAGGGATGCGTAAATCACATCACCCGATGCCTGGGACATGCAGCTCCAGGCGCAAGCAGGTGGGGGGGGGGGGTTTTTCCCCCATTTTTTTTTTCACATTTAGCTCTGCTGCTGGCAGTTGATTTCAATGCAAAATCACGCCCCACTGACTTCAATTCAAAATCGCATCCCATATACCTCAAAGCAAACACACCTCCCTTAGACTTCAATGCAAAAAGGTCTCCCATACACTTCAATGCAAAAATGTCTCCCATAGACTTCAATGAAAAAAGGTCTCCCATAGACTTCAATGAAAAAAAAAAGGTCTCCCACAGACTTCAATGAAAAAAGGTCTCCCATAGACTTCAATGAAAAAAGGTCTCCCATAGACTTCAATGCAAAAACGTCTCCCACATACTTCAAAGCAAAAATGTCTCCCACATACTTCAATGCAAAATGTCTCCCACATACTTCAATGCAAAATGTCTCCCATAGACTTCAATGCAAAAAGGACTCTCATAGACTTCAATGCAAAAAGGACTGCCATAGACTTCAAAGCAAAAACCGTCTCCCATAGACTTCAATGTAAAAACGTCTCCCAATGCGAATCTGTGAGTTTGGATGCATTGCATATAGAGGATCACTGGATTGGATACATTGTATATAGAGGGACACTGGAATGGATACATTGTATACAGGATTGGATACATTGTATATAGAGGGACACTGGATACATTGTATGGGGACACTGGATTGGATACATTGTATATAGAGGGACACTGGATTGGATACATTGTATATAGAGGGACACTGGATTGGATACATTGTATATAGAGGGACACTGGATTGGATACATTGTATATAGAGGGACACTGGATTGGATACATTGTATATAGAGGGACACTGGATTGGATACATTGTATATAGAGGGACACTGGATTGGATACATTGTATATAGAGGGACATGGATTGGATACATTGTATAGAAGACACTGGAATGGATACGTTGTGTATGGAGGACACTGGATTGGATACATTGATACATTTGTATATAGAGGGACACTGGATTGGATACATTGTATATAGAGGGACACTGGATTGGATACATTGTATATAGAAGAGACACTGGAATGGATACATTGTGTATGGAGGACACTGGATTGGATACATTGTATATAGAGGGAGACACTGGACATGGATTGGATACATTGTATATAGAAGACACTGGAATGAACATTGTATGGATACATTGTGTATGGAGGACACTGGATTGGATACATTGTATATAGAAGGATGGGATTGGACACACTGTAGATGGATACATTGTATATAGAAGGATGGGATTGGATGTAGGACACACTGTAGAGGACACATTGTGTATGTGGATTGGATACATTGTATATAGAAGGATGGGATTGGACACACTGTAGAGGACACAAGTGGATACATTGTATATAGAAGGATGGATTGAGTAGAGGACTATGGATTTAGATACATTGTACACAATTATTAGGCAAGTCAGTATTTTGAACAAATCATTATTATGCATATTATCCAAGCTGTATAAACTTGATTGCTTATTGGATTTCAGCCTATCAGGTGATGAGTATTTGTGTAATGAGGGAGGGTGTGGCCTAAGGAGATGAACACCCTATATCAAGGTGTGCAGAATTATCAGACAGCTTCTTTTCCTCTGGCAAAATAGGCCAAAAAGAGATTTAACGGACTCTGAAAAGCCAAAATTGTAAAACGTCTTTCAGAGGGATGCAGCACTCGTGAAACCTCTAAGATATTGGGGCGTGATAACAGATCCATCAAAAAAACATTGTTGCAAATAGTCAACAGGGTCGCAAGAAACGAGTTGAGAAAAAAAAAGCCGCAAATTCACTGCTGAAGAAGAAGAATCAAACATGAAGCCACCAGGAACCCGTTATCCTCCAGTGCTCATATTCCAGAACTGCAACCTACCTGGAGTGCCCAGAAGAAGGAGGTGTTCAGTGCCCAGAGACATGGCCAGGTAAGGAGGGCTGAAACCCGACCACCACCGAACAAGACACAGAGGATGAAACCTCAAGACTGGGCCAAGAAATATCTGAAGACAGGTTTTATGGACTGATGAGAGGAGAGTGACTCTTGTTGGACCAGATGGATGGGCCCCTGGCTGGATCAGTCATGGGCACAGAGCTCCACCATGATTCAGACGCCAGCAAGGTGGAGGTGGAGGTGGGGTACTGGTATGGGCTGGTATTATCAAAGATGAGCTAGTTGGACCTTTTCAGGTTGAAGATGGACTCAAAATCAACTCCCCAACCTACTGCCAGTTTTTAGAAGACCCGTTCTTCAAGCAGTGATACAGGAAAAAGTCTGCATCCTTCAAGAAGACCATGATATTTCTGCAGGACAATGGTCCATCGCATGCATCCAAGTACGCCCTGCATGGCTATTTTTTTGCATGGAAATACCGTATTTTTCGCTCCATAAGACGCACTTTTTTCCCCCCAAAAAAAGGGGGGAAAATGTCAGTGCGTTTTATAGAGCGAATGTAAAGCGGCCGGTCCGGTATTTCTACTGCCACCAAGTCAGAATACCGGGCCGGCCGCTCAGCTGTTCTCTCCTGCAGGACCTTACCTGTTCCTCGCTCCAGCGCTGCAGTCTTTCCCGCAGCGGCTTCTGTGACAGCCGGGTGCCCAGTGCGCATGCGCGAGAAGGGCCGCGCTTTGTGAATGGGCCGGTGTCTTCTGGGACACATGACAGATCCCAGAAGGCTCCAGGCCATTCACAAAGCGCAGCGCTTCTCACGCATGCGCACTGGGCACCCGGCTGTCACAGAAGCCACCGCGGGAAGGAAGGAAGGACAACTCCGCGGAAGTGGGACTGGGTACCTGTCAAATTCAGGTACCGCTCCCCCTCCCCCCCCAAAGGTCCGCAGTCTCTGGTAATCTCCTTTACTGTCTGCAGTCTCTGGTCATCCCCTGCGCTGTCTGCAGTCTCTGGTCTTCTGTACTATGTCCGCAGTCTCTGGTCCTCTCCTGTACTATGTCCGCAGTCTCTGGTCATCTCCTGTACTGTGTCCGCAGTCTCTGGTCTTCATCCCCTGTACTATGTCCGCAGTCTCTGGTCATCTCCTGTACTATGTCCGCAGTCTCTGGTCATCTCCTGTACTATGTCCGCAGTCTCTGGTCATCTCCTGTACTGTGTCCGCAGTCTCTGGTCATCCCCTGTACTGTGTCCGCAGTCTCTGGTCATCTCCTGTACTGTGTCCGCAGTCTCTGGTCATCTCCTGTACTGTGTCCGCAGTCTCTGGTCATCTCCTGTACTGTGTCCGCAGTCTCTGATCATCTCCTGTACTGTGTCCGCAGTCTCTGGTCATCTCCTGTACTATGTCCGCAGTCTAGGTCATCTCCTGTACTGTGTCCGCAGTCTCTGTCATCTCCTGTACTGTGTCCGCAGTCTCTGGTCATCTCCTGTACTATGTCCGCAGTCTCTGGTCATCTCCTGTACTATGTCCGCAGTCTCTGGTCATCCCTGTACTGTGTCTGCAGTCTCTGGTCATCTCCTGTACTGTGTCCCGCAGTCTCTGGTCATCTCCTGTACTATGTCCGCAGTCTCTGGTCATCTCCTGTACTATGTCCGCAGTCTCTGGTCATCTCCTGTACTATGTCCGCAGTCTCTGGTCATCTCCTGTACTGTGTCCGCAGTCTCTGGTCATCCCTGTACTATGTCCGCAGTCTCTGGTCATCTCCTGTACTATGTCCGCAGTCTCTAGTCATCTCCTGTACTGTGTCCGCAGTCTCTGGTCATCTCCTGTACTGTCCATTGGTTCAGAATATTTTTTTTTCTTGTTTTTCTCCTCTAAAACCTAGGTGCGTCTTATGGAGCGAAAAATACGGTATGTATTTTTTTTTTAATGTAGGCCTGTAATTTTTAGGAATAACTCACTGAAATCTGTCCGAACAAGAGTCTAGTAAACATCCCGGGGAGGATAAAATTTGAAACATGAAATCATAAATTATAATTTATTAATCATAAAAAATAATATAATAATTTTAATTCAATAATATAATCAAACCAAAAACACTGAAATGTGAAATATAGCGCCAAGTTCGCACATCACTGAGCAAAGTCGCAGAACCGTTTTCAGTGTCTGATGAGGAATTTCCCCCACGAATCATTATCACTTAATTCTGCAAGTGGTTCTGATTTACTATCGCTGTTCTCTAGCCGGTCTAAAACCGCGTCTGACCTAAAGGGACGCTTTTTGGACGCCATGGACGTTTCTCAGTTTCCAGGCAGAAAGAACAGTAAAATGCAGGCAGGGCGCCGGACAAAGCACTCGGGACAAAATGTATGTGAAATGGTTTGATACAGGAATGGAATACTATCAGATTTTAGTGTATTTAGTGAATGTCACTTTTTCACATTTTTAAATTTCCCGCCATTTCCATCCCCCGTACGTCCCGACGTCGCAGGGACCGGAACCCGGAAGACAGATGCATGGGCCGGAGGACATTGCTGGGGACACTGCAGGAGAGACATCGCGGGAGAGCAGGACAAGGTAAGTGAAGAAGAGATCCCGGAGCAGCGCTGCAGTGTATTCCCGAGTGTAGCTCGGGGGGGTTACCGCTTGTGGTGCTGAAACTTTACCCCGAGCTACACTCAGGAATACCGCCAGGGGGGGTTAAAAGGGAGATTTACGATGAAGGAAAACAGGACAACTCTCTGAACAGTGTCTGGGAGGCTGTGGTTGCTGCTGCATAAAACGTTGATTGTCAACAGATCAAGAAACTGACAGACTCCATGGATGGGGGGCTTAGGACTGTTACTGTAAAGAAGGGGGGCGAGATTTTATTTTTCATTAAATGTCAGAAATATTTATTTGTGAAGTTTGAGTTGTTTATTATTACCACTTTAACTGATGAAAATAAACAAGTGAGATGGGAAAAGGTCATTTTTCATACAGCTGCATAATAATCGTGAACACTAAAAGTCGCCCAATAATTGTGCACACATCGATATTCTCCGAAGAAATACAGAGGACACTGGATTGGATGATACATTGTATACAGAGGACACTGGATTGGATGATACATTGTATACAGAGGACACTGGATTGTTGGATGATACATTGTATACAGAGGACACTGGATTGGATGATTGAATGATACATTGTGTATATAGAGGACACTGGATTGGATGGGATTGGACGTTACATTTGTATACAGAGGGATGGGACCGGACGATACATTGTATACAGAGGGATGGGATTGGACGATACATTGTATACAGAGGGATGGGATTGGACGATACATTGTATACAGAGGGATGGGACCGGACGATACATTGTATACAGAGGGATGGGACCGGACGATACATTGTATACAGAGGGATGGGACCGGACGATACATTGTATACAGAGGGATGGGATTGGACGATACATTGTATACAGAGGGATGGGATTGGACGATACATTGTATATAGAGGGATGGGACCGGACGATACATTGTATACAGAGGGACGGGATTGGACGATACATTGTATACAGAGGGATGGGATTGGACGATACATTGTATACAGGGGGATGGGATTGGATGATACATTGTATACAGGGGGATGGGATTGGACGATACATTGTATACAGGGGGATGGGATTGGACGATACATTGTATACAGGGGGATGGGATTGGACGATACATTGTATACAGGGGGATGGGATTGGACGATACATTGTATACAGGGGGATGGGATTGGACGATACATTGTATACAGGGGGATGGGATTGGACGATACATTGTATACAGGGGGATGGGATTGGACGATACATTGTATACAGGGGGATGGGATTGGATGATACATTGTATACAGAGGGATGGGATTGGATGATACACTGTATACAGAGGGATGAGATTGGACAATACATTGTATACAGAGGGATGGGATTGGACGATACATTGTATACAGAGGGATTGGACAATACATTGTATACAGAGGGATGGGATTGGATGATACATTGTATACAGAGGGATGGGATTGGACGATACATTGTATACAGAGGGATGGGATTGGACGATACATTGTATACAGAGGGATGGGATGTATACAGAGGGATGGGATTGGACGATACACTGTATACAGAGGGACGGGATTGGACGATACATTGTATACAGAGGGACGGGATTGGACGATACATTGTATACAGAGGGACGGGATTGGACGATACATTGTATACAGAGGGACGGGATTGGACGATACATTGTATACAGAGGGATGGGATTGGACGATACATTGTATACAGAGGGATGGGATTGGACGATACATTGTATACAGAGGGATGGGATTGGACGATACATTGTATACAGAGGAATGGGATTGGACGATACATTGTATACAGAGGGATGGGATTGGACGATACATTGTATACAGAGGGATGGGATTGGACGATACATTGTATACAGAGGGATGGGATTGGATGATACATTGTATACAGAGGGATGGGATTGGATGATACATTGTATACAGAGGGACGGGATTGGATGATACATTGTATACAGAGGGATGGGATTGGATGATACATTGTATACAGGGGGATGGGATTGGATGATACATTGTATACAGAGGGATGGGACTGGACGATACATTGTATACAGAGGGATGGGATTGGATGATACATTGTATACAGAGGGATGGGATTGGACGATACATTGTATATAGGGGGGTCAGTTTATATGTCTGGAGAGGAAATGAGTGACAGCTGTCAGTTTCCAGGCTCCCCTGGTTGCCGGTTTCCAGGCTCCCCCCTCCTTAGGTCCCCCCAGGACTGCCAGGCCTTCTCTCTGGTCCCTCAAGCAGGGAGAAGGGGGCGGGGTCTGCTGACATGAGAAGGACCCCAGTCAGGGCCCCTGGACTAAGCTCAGCCACAAGGGCCCCAACCGGGAGTACAGAGGCCACAGACAGGGGCCCGGCCGTCCACACTCACCGCACGAACATCACCGAGCCCCGCAGCGGCCACCGCCACACACCGTTCCCATCTGCATCCTTCACCTCCTCCGGATCCACATTCTGGGAAAAAGAGATCCCTCCGCCCATTGGCATAGCACGGGGGCTCGGTGAGGAGGCCGGCGCTGGCCGCTGGGTGTGCTGCGAAGCACGTCAGTGACGTCATCCTGTGTCCATGCACCGGGAGGAAAAGTAGTCCGTCTAGGATGGGAGATTGGGGGGGAGATGAGTGATGAAGGAAGGAGGGGAGGGGTGGTGTCACCTGTCACCCCTCTCTCATCATCTGCCACCCAGTGAGCTCACCTGTAAACCTGCACAGAGTCATGGAGATTATTAAAGGGCCAGTCAGATGTGAACCTGTCATCAATACATGCAAAGATCAATATATTGGTAATGGAAAGAAGAAGATCAATATATTGGTAATAGATTAAGAAGGTCAATATATTGGTAATAAGATTAATAGACTAGTAATAGAAAGTATAAGATCAATATATTGGTAATAAAAAGATCAATAGATTGGTAATAGAAAGAGGGGGAGCAATATATTGGTAATAACAAGATATATATAGATTGGTAATAGAAAGAAGAAGATAACAATATTGGTAAAAGAAGAAGATCAATATATCGGTAATAAAAAGATCAATGTATTTGTAACAGAAAGAAGATCAATATATCAGTAATAGAAAAAGCAGGTCAATATATTGGTAATAGAAGAACATTAATAAATTGGTAATAGAAAGAAGAAGATCAGTATGTTGGTAATAGAAGAAGATCAATATATTGGTCATAGAAAGAAGATCAATCTATCAGTAATAGAAAAAGCAGATCAATATATTGGTAATAGAAGAACATTAATATATTGGTAAAAGAAAAGATCAATTTGTCGGTAATAGAAAGAAGATCAATATATTTGTAACAGAAGATCAATATATCAGTAATAGAAAAAGCCGATCAATATATTGGTAATAGAAGAAGATCAATATATTGGTAACAGAAAGAAGATCAATATATCAGTAATAGAAAGAAGAAGATCAATATATTTGTAACAGAAAGAAATATATCAGTAATAGAAAAAGCAATATATTGGTAATCATTAATATATTGGTAATAGAAAAAGATCAGTATGTTGGTAATAGAAAGAAGGAGATCAATATATTGGTAATAGAAAGATCAATCTATCAGTAATAGAAAAATCAGATACATATATTAGTAAAAGAAGAAGATCAATATATTTGTAACAGAAAGAAGATCAATCTATCAGTAATAGAAAAAAGCAGGTCAATATATTGGTAATAGAAGAACATTAATATATTGGTAATAGAAAGAAGAAAGATCAGTATGTTGGTAATAGAAGAAGATCAATATATTGGTAATAGAAAGAAGAAGATCAATATATTAGGTAATAGAAAGAAGAAGATCAATATATTGGTAATAGAAAGAAGAAGATCGGTTTATTGGTAATAGAAGAAGAAGATCAATATATTGGTAATAGAAAGAAGAAGAACGGTTTATTGGTAATAGAAGAAGAAGATCAGTATTTTTTATTGGTAAAAATAGAAAGAAGATCAAACTATCAGTAATAGACAGAAGAAGATAATATTTTGGTAAAAGAAGAAGATCAATATATTGGTAATAGAAAGAAGAAGATTTAAAACAGAAAGAAGATCAATATATCAGTAACTGAAAAAGCAGATAAATATATTAGTAAAAAAAGATCAATATATTGGCAATAGAAGAAGATCAATATATTGGTAACAAAAAAGAAGATCAGTATATTGGTAA